CAATTTGATTAACTTCTTAAACAATTCCAACTGATATTATTGTTGCTAAATGAAGACATATCGCACAGATGTTAGACGTGAGCTTCACAGAATGCGAATCCAACAACAACATCAACAATGAGGAAGCATAAAAATGTTTGAAAAGGTACGTGCTATCCATTATGCGTGCTGCTCGTATCTCTTCATTGTTGCGAAAAAAAAAATTTCTTTATGATGTGATTATTTGTTGTTAGAAACGTTTGCTGGCTGTGCTGGACAGGATGTTAGTTTTGGTAGTGCTTTTATGATTAAAGGTTAAAGATGATTTTTTTGGCTTCTTTAAGTAGGAAAAGATGGAAGAAAATGATTAAGTTCTGATATTTAAGCGAGATTGAAATGGAAGAGATTGATAGGCTTTTTGTAGACAATTTGAGTGCTATAGCTTGATCGAAATTGTTTACTTTATGTTATTTGAGCAGTGCTTGCTAAACTTTGCTTTATAAGTAGGCTGTCCATAGGTTTTTGTCGATTTTTGGTCAAAAAGCCGGACATGTTTCGATTTTAGCTTTGAAAAGGCGGGAGAAACCAAATTTTCAGGCATTTTTCAGAAAAATAGGTTAAAAAAATGGGACATTAAGGATTTTAGGAAGTAATTTGTTTAAAAAAGTTGGACTGTGCTGCTCAAAAGTGTACAGTTGGACAGCATTTTTAACGACACACTGTTGACACACTTTAACCTTAAGATCTAAAGGTCTAATCTTGAAAAGAGGCTTATTGAGTCATGGTTCAAAAGGATTTAGAACAACTGACTTTGAGTATGGCTCAAAGATACCCTCTAGGATATAAGACCTAGCTATAAGCGACCTTAGCTAGTCTTGGGCTATTTTAGGCTGTTATTTTTTACCTCAAATTATCCTTGGCTATTAATAGTTCTTCTAGTTGCCCTAGTCTAGAGTCTGACTCTAGTCAAACTCTATGTGCGCCAGAAACTAGCCTCTGATGTACTGTCAGAAGTTCCCAGCTGTGTGTTAAAGCAACCATTTGCTCATTTACCTGTCTCAGCCATGACCCTGCGTACCATAACTCACTAAGTTCATTAATTATTGATACAAATAAGCTAAATTAAACGTATTTTCCTCTCTAAAGTTTATTTTCCACCTTTAAACATTTTTTTCTTCGATTTTCCAGCCTCCTCAATTTTGTTTATAACATTTAATTACGATACAACGTCTGCTGTAGCTTCAGCCTCAGATTTCCTTCCTAACCCTTTCTTTTCTTCAAAATTTGTTGTTTTTTTCACAGAATTTCAACTTTTTTTTCAACCCCTCGCGAAACAAAATTTTCATAATCTTTATTTACTGACGAGGCTGCTTTTTTTGCTCATTTAATTGTTCCGAGAATTTTTATTAACTTTCTAATGATTGCCTTGTTGAGATAATGAGATAAAATTTTCTGCTTTTGCTAAAATAAAAGTTTTTAATTTGGATAAAAAATTGCTCAGAAAGTTTCAAATTAAGGAAATTGAATAAAATTTATTTAAAATGATACGAGGAGTTGGCAAATTTTCTAGAAAAGATATTAAAATTTTCTCAACAAAAGGTTAACCTTAATTTAAGTTTACAAATTAAAATGTTTGTGGTGAAAAGTTGTTTGTGGTTTTTAAGAACAAATGTTGACAAATTTTAATTCATTTGTCAAAGAAATGAATATTTTTAATTTTGTAAATGTTTTGAGAATGTAATGAAGGACGATTGTGATGATTTTGTTAGAAATTGAAACATTGCCTCAAAAGTCAGTAACATAACCTCAAAGTTTAGCAACATAACCTCAAAATTCAACAATATAACCTCAAAATTCAGCAATATTATCTCGAAATTCAGCAATAGAACCTAAAAGTTCAGCAACATAACCTCAAAATTCAGCTACTTAACTCCAAAAGTTCAGCAACATAACCTCAAAATTTAGCAACATAACCTTAAAAATTCAGCATCATAACCTCAAAATTCAGCAACATAACTCCGAAAATTCAGCAGCTTAACCTTAAAATTCAGCAAACTAACCTGAAAATTCAGCAATATAACCTTAAAGTTCAGCATTAAACCTTTAAATCAAGCAACATAACCTCAAAATCTTTCAAAATAGCCTGAAAGTTTCTCACAAATTTCACCAATCCAAACTAAACCAAAGAAAATCTTAATTAAACACAAAAATTCTAAGACGATTTACAAATTTATATAAATAACCTCAACCCCAGCCTTAATGTAAACTACAAAACATTAACATACAACTTAAGGTACTGATAAGAAAACTTCTTGTGTTATTATGAAACTTTTAAAGATTATTTCATCCTTCCTCAATTGAAACAAAAAGGGAATAAACCGCACAGTTTGTGAAGTCATTTTATTATTGGGTGAAACTTTAACAAAACATGGAATTTAAATTGTTGACAAGTTTTTTTTTTGTTGGAGAAAAGTTTGATAAAGATTTGAGACTTAAAGAATTTTGGAAGATTTTTTGAAAAATTAATGTTAAGTGATTGAAAAGTAAAACAATTCAATGAATTAAATATTTAAACTTATGAAGAATGAATATAGATTTAATGATATAAAATAACGGTTTTTTAATTTTCGAAAATAAGCCCCCCTTAAAAAATTTCTGGCTACGCCCCTGCCCCAATAAATCTATATTTGTCACAAAAACTTCCTAAACTTTTCCTAAACCTTGAACAAAAAATTGACAAAACTTTCTTCCTTTTTAAGTTTAAATTCCTTCCTTAATCCTTTAAAATTCTTATTTTTCACCTTTTTATTTTGAAAACATTTCAACTTAAAAAACACAATTTTCTAACCAATTCAGGACAAAAACAATAAAAGCCAAACTTTAAACCGCAATGTGAAAAGTAAGAAAATTGAATTGAAAAACTAAATGAAAACTTTTCCGTTCAATTTCCCGTCAAAACTGTTTTTAGGGTTGTAAAACTTTTCATTTCATTTTCAACAATTGTCTAAAATTATTAAAATATCATCGTTCACTTTTGGATAAATAAAAAAAGTTATTTTTCACTTCATCCTTTTTCACTCAAATAACCGCAGATTATTATCATTATTATCATGAGATTTTTGAGGATGAGGCACACAAAGTGGCGAATGGAGTGAATAAAAAGTTTTTTTTATTGTTTCTGTTTTGCTAGACTTGATAGTGATATTGATGCTAATTTTATCAACTGACAGTTTTTGTTTGGATAAGGATTTCACCACAGTATGCATGAAATACAATATATTTTCAACATAACCTCAAAGTTTACAATCTAACCTCAAAATTTTGTAAACATAACCTTAGAAATTTACAACATAACCTCAAAATTAAGAACCTAACCTCAAAGTTAAGAATCCTACCTTAAAATTAAGAACCCTACCTCATATTTTGTTAACTTAACCTCAAAATGCATCGACATAACCTCAAAATTTAGCAACATAACCTTAAAATTCGACAAGCCAACCTAAATTTTGATCAAAATAACCTCGAGAATCAAACCCTAATCTCAAAATTTGTCAATACAACTTCGCCCAAATCTCACAATATCGTCATTGCCAAGTTTCATTTTCACTTTCTCTAATTCTGCTTCATCACAAAAATAGAACCAAACCTTCCTTCTTCTCCTCCCCTCCAAATGTGTGTGTGCTGTTATGTTTTTATGATGAGCGAGTTATGTTAAAATGAAATTAATTCTAATCTGATAAATTTGCATCACGCTTTCATTTTAATTTTCGTCTTGTCTCTCATGTTATGGAGATAAAAGCATGATGTTGGAGGAATATGAAGACAATTTTAATGAAAAAAAAAAAAAACGGAAACAACGGAATGCGAAGAAGAAATGATGTTTCGCAGCATGTAAGATTGATGGATTAAAGATGATATGATGGATGATAGGAATAATATTTTATTTGTGCGTTTTTAATGCGAGTGGTGTGATGACTGGAATTTTTAATTGTTTAAGGTTAATAATTTAAGAGCTGAGCGTCATTAAAGGACACATTTATAGCTGTGCGTCATTTTAAAAAGAAAGGAATAAAGTAACAATTTTAAAGCTAAGCGTCATTATAGTAACAATTTTAAAGCTGAGCGTTATTATAGTAACTGTTTTAAATCTGAGCGTAACTAAAGTGGCATGTTTTAAAGCTGAACGTCATTAGTTTCAATATTAAATCTAAGCGTCACTAGAGCTGAACGTCAGTTTAGCGATAATTGTAAAGCTGAGAGTCATTATAGTAGAAATTGTTAAGCTAAGCGTCATTAAAGTAGAAATTGAGAAAGCTGACCGTCATTATAGAAGAAATTAAGAAAGCTGAGCGTCATTATAGTAGAAATTGAGAAAGCTGAGCGTCATTATAGCGATAATTGTAAAGCTGAGCGTCATTATAGAAGAACTTTTGAAGCTGAGCGTCATTAAAGTAGAAATTAAGAAAGCTGAGCGTCATTATAGAAACAATTTTAAAGCTTCGCGTAATAAAGCTTGAAATTCTTGAGCTTATCGGCAATTTTTTAAACAACCTCATTAACTTACTATTTGCTATCTACCTGACACAACTAAAATGAAGCATTTATAAGCATTTACATTTTAAATAACTTCCAAAAGAAAAAACAACTTTTTTTTCCATCTCAAACATTTCGGGTCAGAAATACCTCAAGACTTTTTTTTAACTTTGACTTTTTTTTGAGTTCATAAAATGTCGACCTTTCTCCTGACAAAAATTCTTCATTCTGTACTTCTTCATTCCAATTAAATTTGTCACCTTGGAATTTTTCTTTTTGATCTTTTCTGATGCATGAAATGAAGGACAAATTCTTGAGAGGTTTTAAGCTTTGAAGATGTAAGAAATGTTGGGAATTTTCATTCATTATTAAGCAAAATTTGAATGAATTTTGTAAATTGAGAAGTAACCCACAGGATGTTCAATTTGGCAGCCGTTTTGCTTTTTCAGCCTTTGTTGTGTTGACAAGAAAAAAAAACTCAATAAAATTAATTTAAATTTTAATCAAACTTTTATTTTTTTATTCAGTTGATTTTTTTCTTCAAATTCTTGATTTATGAATGTCTTCAACTGGAAAATACAAATCTGTGCTGTGCTTATAAAGGCATTCGACTATTTTCAATTGTAAAAATCATAAAAAATACAAAAAAGTTCAAATCAAAGTTATAATCTTTTTAACATTTATCATAACTTTTTCCAATTTTTCATCCAAAATTTCCTCAATTTTTCGTGTCATTCGACTTTCGAGGTCTTCAATTTTAGAATCAACAACTTTTAAAATATTTTGGTAAGGTTCTTCGAGGTGGCATGAATTTTCATTAGATGACTTAATCAATTTTTGGAACCTTTGCTTCAGCGGCGAGAAAGTAGCGAATTTTGAGTCTTTAAATTCAGTTTGGAAGTTTATGACATTTTGGCTGTAGATTTGAGAACTTGCGATAATTGAATTTCCTGAGACTTCTTCGAGATTTTCAAGCTTTTTCTTCAAACTCAAAAAATCTGAGCTTGTGCATGAATTTTTCACACCTTTGATAACTTTAAGAGTCACTGCTCGATTTTGAACTGAGTACAAATTAGTGCAAATGTTGCCATTAAAAAATAAAGTTTTCAGGTTCGCCAAATTATTAAAAGCAGTCGGACTGATGTGAAAAAGCTTAGTATTTTCAAATATTATCACTTTAATGTCTGGATTGTAGTCAAAAAGTCCATCTTCAATAATTTCAATGCCATTTCCAGACAAATACAAATTATTAAGATCAGGATAAGGTTTTAGGTCATCCTGATGAATCTCTTTAAGCTGACTGTGCCAAATGATAATTCCTTTGAGATTTTTATAGAACTTTTCCAAACCACGTGGGAAATATTGAATTTGCTTGCTAATATGGAAGTGAATGTCACTGTCGTCACTCTTCCCACTCATATGATCACCTGTAATTGATTCAATTTGAACCTCGTCGGGTAAGTCTATGTCGATAGCATTTTTCACTAAGCAGCGATACTTGTCTCCATAAGCATGATTGCTGTCAAAGATTCCATATTCACACTCAATATCCAGTGAAAGGACAAGGTGGATATAAACTAAGATAACAAGCCTGTGGTAAAGTTAGGGAAAAATAGAACTTTATTAAAGCACAGAGAATGTTAAAATTTGAATTCAATATTTAAAACCAGGCAATTTTAGTCCCAACCCTCCCACAAAACTTCACATTTCTTCATGACATCCTTCTCATCCAAACCAAGGACGACTTCACATGGTTTCAAAACTTTGCAACAACTTCACCTTCCCCCTTCTTTCCCCCCTTCTTTCCCTCCCTTCCTTAACCCACGATGAATCCTCCAACTTCCTAAAAAAGTTGATTGAAGTTGTGTAACTTCACAAATAGCTTCACATGGCTTCCGTTCTAGAATGAGCCCAGAAATTAGGTGTTTCCAATATAGATTAATATTTAGCAGGATCTAGCTTCTAGATAGAAACCTTTTTATTGTATGAGTCGTTGTAAAATCACAGACCATCCCCCTCCCCCTTCCTGCCCTTCCCCTTTTATCTACAACTTGGGCAATGCTAAACAAAGTTACGATTGAAAAATGTTTAATTTTAATACTTACGAAAGTCTTTTAAGCATTCTTATAGAAAATCTGTAGAATATTTAAGTCTTAAGTACAATAATTCAGACAATTTAATTAAAAATGACTTGATTACTTGACAAATAACTTTAAACTGTCAACAGACTTCAATCTTATCAGACAAAAATGACGAATTCGGAAGTAAATGAGTAAGTCAGTTGGGGATTTTTTTTTTGATATTTTTCCCAGCACATAAATTTTATTAACACAAAGTTCATGAGTGTCAAATGAAATTTTAATTCGTGATTGATAACAAACTTTAAAACGCGTGAGTAAACGATGGAGCCAGATGGACAGACGGACTGACTTATAGACTGACTTCAGACTGACAGCAAATTGAAAAAAGGTACAGCATGGAAAAAACCCAGCTTATTGAGCTAGAAGCACTGCGATTCAAATTAGAATATAATCAATTGGACGACATTGTTGTAGATCTACAGTTTATAGTGGAATCCGAACCACTTGCAAGCTCTGCACATTGTAAAGACACTAGTAAGTCTATAGACCTGATGTACCCTGCAATGTACATAGTCACAATTCGTGTGCGCAAGATGCTGTAATGAAATCATCCAGATGCTAGTATATCCTTGTATACCTAGCAAAGGAGGCATATTCTATGCCATAGACATCAACACTACATCCAACACACGAACCGAGCTTTGAAACTAGAACGGTGAAATGGAAAAGAGCTTCTAAACCTTGACTTGACCTGTCATTGAACCCAGGACCTTTGGCACGTAAGGCCAACGCTCTACCACTTAAGCCACTGCTGCCATTTCACAGCTTGTCATGTATTTAGTGATGTCTGTTATTTTTCTTGATCCCATCAAAGATAGTAAAATTCTTCAACTATTTTTTGATAATTTATGATAAGTTGTAAATCATTAGCCCAACCTCTTACCCCTCTTAAAAATCATAAGTAAACGACTCCAAAGTTATAAATTTTATTGACATCATTATTAGTAATTTTGTCGTTCTTGAGCCGGTTCCTAAGGCACCCTTGGATAAAAATGGAAATCGAAAATTTAGAAAAGTCGCATCTTAAATTCTTAACAAATTTTATTAAAATAACTTCAAATCATTGCAATAAGCTTATTAACATTAATCATGACCTTTTCTAGCTTCTCTTCCAAAATCGCTTCGATATTTCTTGTTAAACGGGTTTCAAGCTCCTCAATCTTTGAATCCATTGCTTTTAACATGTTCTGTTGAGTGTCAAAGAGGTCCGTATCAATTTTATGTTTAAGAGTTTCCAAACCTATTTCTTTACTCCTGCATGAATCTTCAGTAGGCGACGTAATCTTCAATTCTATCAAGTTTTGGAATTTTTGCTTAAATGGCGAGAAACTTGCAAATTTTGAAGCTGTAAATAGCTCTTGAAAGTTTATAAGGTTTTGACTGAATATTTGTGAGTTTGCAAAGTTTAAATTCTTTGAGATTTGTTCAAGATTGTCAAGCTTTCTCCTCAAACTCAAGAATTCTAAGCTTGTGCATGAATTTTTCACACCTTTGATAACTTTAAGAGTCACTGCTCGATTTTTAACTGAGTACAAATTAGTGCAAATGTTGCCATTAAAAAATAAAGTTTTCAGCTTCGCCAAATTATTAAAAGCAGTCGGACTGATGTGAAAAAGTTTAGTATTTTCAAATATTATCACTTTAATGTCTGGATTGTAGTCAAAAAGTCCATCTTCAATGATTTCAATGCCATTTCCAGACAAATACAAATTATTAAGACCAGGATAAGGTTTTAGGTCATCCTGATGAATCTCTTTAAGCTGACTGTGCCAAATGATAATTCCTTTGAGATTTTTATAGAATTTTTGCATGCCACGTGGGAAATATTGAATGTTTTTGTCGCTTATGTGGAAATGCATCTCATTGTCGTCACTCTTCCCACTCATATGATCACCTGTAATTGACTCAATTTGAACCTCGTCTGGTAAGTCAATGTCGATATCATTTTTAACTAAGCATCGATACTTGTCTCCATAAGCATGACGATTATCGAAAATATCATATTCACACTCAATGTCCAGTGAAAGGACAAAGTTTATATATACAAAAATAAGCCATCTAGTGAGATAAGAATTGTGGAGATAAATAATGATTTTAAAATTCCTAAAGTCAACAATTTCGACTAAAAGCAGGATCAGCTCAATACTTACGAAAGCCTTTTTTCCATTCTACCAAAAAAAATGATATTTTGTATTCACAGACAACTTCGTTACTGAATATACTCCTCTAAAATGACCGCAGATTATCAGAAAAGTTCACTCAATTATTCTTATCAAAGAAACAAAATAAAACGAAATTTTTTAATCTAGTCAAATGTTTACTTATGACGTCTACATTTAAAAATAGGATTTTTAATATTTTAAGATTGAAGTAATGTCAAATCAGTGCTATTAACTATTTAATAGATGTCTCTGATGAAAGATCTGCGGCATATATTATCCAAACGCTATTAGTAACTCTGATTTGTATCAGATGACAGGAAACAATGCGCTTATAGGTCCACTTTGTCTGGCTGGCTGCCTGTTTTTATCAGAACTGGAAGCACTTAGAGACTTCTAGTTTTTTGCATTTGATAGCTGCTATATGATATTGCGGACGATCGCATATTTGTTTTTCTTAATTCATCTAAGTTTCTTAATTAAATTAACTTTTCTGTTTTTTTGTATTTGATTTATATCCAACAAGATCCTGGTTTTTAGTTCCCGACTTCCTACACATTGTGTTGTTGGTCAAAGTCAATTGTCACAGTACAAATTCCTTTTGTATGGTTTTGAATGAGTTTCGAAAATTGTAAGGTTTTTTGAAATTTTAAATTTTCAAACACCGTTAAATTAATTCATAGGATTTAATCATCTTTTAGCAATCAAATATTAAGATAAGTAACTCTAAAATATTGTGGCGCAAAACTAATTGACATTTTTACTGATTTATCGTCCGTTCACATCTGTAACGGCAACTTCTATACTAGTTTAATTAATAATGTAAAGCACGTGTAAAAAAATTGATTAAAAAAGTGGCATAAAAATTTATTCAATTCTAAAGCATTATTAGCATACATTAACTTAGGATGCTGTCAAAGCAATGCCGGAATCTATTTAAAGCATTGTTACAATTTTTCCAATACTTATCATAACTTTTTCTAATTTTTCATCCAAAATTTCCTCCATTTTTGTTGTCAATCGATTTTCAAGATGCTGAATTTTTAAATCCATTGTATTCATCATGTTTTGTTGATTATCCTCGAGGTCCTGATCTATCTTAAGCTTCAAATGTGTCAGTTTCTCTTCAATGATTGAATATGAATTAGCTGATGACATAAATCCACTAAGAACCCCACCTAAATTCTCATATGGAGATTTAATCTTTAAATCCATCAATCTTTGAAGTTTCTGCTTTAAAATTGAGAAATTTATAAATTTTGAAGCTGTAAATTCCTCTTGAAAATTTATCAGATTTTGACTGAATATTGGCGAATTGGCAAAGTTCAAATTCTTTGAAATTTGTTCGAGATTTTCAATTTTTCTCTTCAAACTTGTAAATTCAGAGCTTATGCATGAACTTTTTAATGAACTTATGACTTTAAGAGTTGCTGTTCGATCTTTTAAAGAAGATTCATTTGTGCATGGATTGCCACCCAAATAAAAAGTTGATAATTTTGTCAAACTATCAAAAGTAGTTGCTCCGATGTGAATAAGCTTCATATTCTCAAAAACAATAAGGTCCGGATTGAAGTCAAACAAGTCATCCTGAATAATTTCAATTTTATTTCCAGACAAATTTAAGAAGTTCAGTTTTGGATACTTTTTCAAGTCTTCTTGATGAATCTCCTTAAGTTGCGTATGCCAAATGACAATTCCTTTAAGGTTCTTGTAGAACTTTTCCAAACCACGTGGAAAATATTGGATTGACTTGGTGCTGATATGGAAGTAAATGTCATCGTCGTCACTTTTGCCACTAATGTGAGAATTTTTCAATGTTTCAATTTGGACTTGATTTTGGGAGTCAATGATGAAGTCACTAATGACAGCGCAATAGTATTTACTTCCAACAGCATGATAGTTTTGATCTCCACAATTGCATTCAATATTTAGGGACAGCACATAGGTGATGGTCATCAAACAGACAAGTCTGAAGTTGGAAAATAAATTTGTGAATTTAAGAAAGTCGATCAGAAAATAGTCAGTCAAGAGCAAGAGAGTGGACGCAACAAGAAAGAGCAAAATGGAGCACGCGCTAGCCAGAAGGGCCTGCTAGATAGGATATAATACCTTCCTAGCTACGCGCCTGGACATTAATGAACTCACGCTATACCAATAACTTGAATGGCGATAAATCGATTGCTTCTCAATCAGATGGCATAATTACAATCATATTCGATGCTTGATCGATTAAGTGTCTAAAATATCCAAGGGTGCGGAACTGAAGGATTACATTTTGATCATTTTTGATCACTTTTGATCATTTTTGATCACTTTTGATCATTTTTGATCACTTTTGATCATTTTTGATCAATTTTGAACATTTCATCAATACCACACCCTTGAAAATATCCCAAATGACACAAGTCGGTTTATGGATCAAAAATCTGACGCTTAGCTGGTGTAATTCTGGCATATTGCTGGATTTAAATCGAAGCTTGCATCATGCCAGCTTGGTACCGGATTTCTATTTGATTAACTATTCAATGGCTTCGATTTAAATCCAGCACCATGCCAGAGTCTCAATAGCTTGGTGCCGGATTTCTATTCAAATAATCCGACTTGTTCTATTCGGGTATGAACCACCATTGATCATTGATCGTGATTGAAGTGAAAATCAACCAAATCGATCAAATTACTGGCCACATTTGATACTTACAGTTGAAGTCTGAATAGCATGTCTTCACCCAAACTCAAATTTACTAAAATGCGACTTTCTTGTTACGCAAACAATTTTAAAATGACAAAAAATAGAGCTTGCTCTTATCAGAAATCACTTAAAAGTATAGAAATCTCAAAATTGTGGTATTTCAAGCTTTTTATAGAAGCTTATGTATTTTATTATCATCAAGTTCACATAAGTCAGATGCAGAGGCGTAGCCAGGAATTTGAAGAGGGTGGACAAAAAATTTTTTGTATGAAATTTTTGTAGCTGTTTTTGGTCTCTAATTGTGAAAACTTTTCGTCAAACTTTGCATTTAAAGCTGCAAATTCTTTGTCAATTTTGCTATTCATGTTTTCTAGAGAATCAGTGACTGAAACCTTAAAGTCGTCAATCAATTTTGCCAAGTCTTTAAAATTGAGATTTTTCAAGTCAACATCAGATTTTGAGGTTAAATCTTCAAGTTTGAGTGCATTTAAAATTTCAATTTTTTTAGTAAATGTCAAAAGTTTGGCAAATTTCGATGCTTTTAAGTCATTTTCAAATTCGGTCAAACTTTGCATAAAAATATCTGAATCAAGTGTCTTTGATTCAAGTTCCAACTTTTCAAGCTGAGCTGTTAAATTTGAGAACTTAGAATCGACATATTTAACTTTAACATCATTGATTATGTCAAGAACGTCATTGCGGTCATTATCGTAGTGTAAACTAATGCACGGATGGAAAAGTAAACCCAATGAAACTAAATTCGTCAAACCATCAAAAACTGTCTGTCCAATAAACACAAGCTTGTTACTTTGAAACCCTGTTTGAAACGCAACATGCTCTGAATTTGGATTAAAATCAAAAATGCCATTTTCCAAAACTTGAATGTCATTGTCAGTCAAGTCAAAATATTTTAATTTTGTATAATTTCTCATGTCAGACTGACGTAGTTCGACCAATCGTCCAAGCCTTAAAGTTATTCGGACAAAAAATTTATAAAATGTTTCTAAAGCTAATGGAAAATAATTGATTTTATTTCCTGAAGAATAAAGCATGACTTCATTATTATTTGACTCTCCACTCGCATGTGATCCATTGATTCCAGTGATGTATGCTTTTTCTGGCAAGTCTATGTTAAGGTCAGTTTTGACTATACTTGTGTAAATGATATCAGGTTTCCAATGCGAGTAGTCGGCATATTTACAATCAAAGTTGGTCATTAATGAATGGTTAAGCTGCATGGTCAACAACATCATCAGCATCCTGAATGGAAATTCACATTTTGTTTAAAAAGAACTCAAACTTATTAAAATGCGGTGAAATGGCATCAGTGACCTAAATGGTAGAGCGTTGGCCTTACGTGCCAAAGGTCCTGGGTTCAATCCCAGGCCACGTCTAATTTTCGAAGCTCTTTTTCCATTTCACCGTTCTAGTTACGAAGCTCGGTTCGTGTGTTGGATGTAGTGTTGATGTCTTTGGCATAGGAGGCATATTCTACTTTGCTAGGTACACAAGGATATACTAGCATCTGGATGACTTCTTTACGGCATCTTGCGCACACGGATTGTGACTAGGTACATTGCAGGGTACATCAGGTCTTTAAACTTACTAGTGTCTTTGCAATGTACAGAGCTTGCAAGTGGTACAGATTCCACTATAAACTGAATGATTCTGGGGAAAAATGTCGTAATTGCATTTTGTTCTTTTACTTGTTATAACTCTAAAACTATAGAAGATAACATAGACATATTATATATTGTTGGAATTGACATCCAAATAGCTATTTAATTATGCTATTTTTGAACCGGTTCAATCGGTTTAAACGGTTCAAAAACTGGTTCAAAGTTGAAAAACTAAGAAATTGAATAACTTTTTCAATACTTAATCAAAGGCTTTGCTTTTTAGCTCGTTTTGTAGCCTTTAAAAATGCTCACAACTTGTTGGGGCTAGATTTTTGATTATCGACCTGTGACGTCATTTATGAGCTTTTTATGTTGAAACTTTGACAGCTTAATTCTCAGCAACTACATATGATACAATAACTATATACACCTTAAAATTTTTCAATTTTCTTAAAAATTAATGAACATTAATAATTTGTGGGATTTGTGAATAAGTTTTGTCAAAAAATGATAAAACCTTAAAACATTAAAATGTTTTGAACACTATTTTACCTTTATTTGATATTTATCTTTCAAATACGGAAAAAATTCTTATTGCATTAAAAAAGCTTTTAATTTCCTTTGAAATGATATATAACATGCTTGGGGTTTATCAGTAAATGACGTCTAAAAATTTTTATTGTTTTTTAATGATTTTTGTACCTATTTCTATTTAATTTTAGTGTTCTATTCCACTTTTTTCTACTTTTTCACATTTTTCATCAAAATAAAAGTAAATATTGCCATTTTTTTTAAAAAAAGTAGCAAATATTACAAAGTAGCAAAACTTCAATAACAAATACTTGAATGCACATTTAAAAAATCATTTGTATTTTTTGATTAAATGGCAATATTTACTTTTATTTCGATGAAAAATGTGAAAAAATAGAAGAAAGTGGAATAGAAGACTAAAACTAAATGAAAAAAGGTACGAAAATCATTAGAAAACCATAAAAATTTTTTAGACGTTATTTACTGATAAACCCCAAGCATGTTATATATCATTTTAAAGGAAATTAAAAGCTTTTTTAATGCAATAAGAATTTTTTCCGTATTTGAAAGATAAATATCAAATAAAGGTAAAATAGTGTTCAAAACATTTTAATGTTTTAAGGTTTTATCATTTTTTGACAAAACTTATTCACAAATCCCACAAATTATTAATGTTCATTAATTTTTAAGAAAATTGAAAAATTTTAAGGTGTATATAGTTATTGTATCATATGTAGTTGCTGAGAATTAAGCTGTCAAAGTTTCAACATAAAAAGCTCATAAATGACGTCACAGGTCGATAATCAAAAATCTAGCCCCAACAAGTTGTGAGCATTTTTAAAGGCTACAAAACGAGCTAAAAAGCAAAGCCTTTGATTAAGTATTGAAAAAGTTATTCAATTTCTTAGTTTTTCAACTTTGAACCAGTTTTTGAACCGTTTAAACCGATTGAACCGGTTCAAAAATAGCATAATTAAATAGCTATTTGGATGTCAATTCCAACAATATATAATATGTCTATGTTATCTTCTATAGTTTTAGAGTTATAACAAGTAAAAGAACAAAATGCAATTACGACATTTTTCCCCAGAATCATTCAACTGTAGGTCTAAAGGGTGTGGTACAATAGATTCTGTTCTAATTTGAATCGCAGTGCCTCCAGCTGAAAGGCTGGGCCCTTCACACATTATTATTATTATTATTAAAATACTTAAAATAAAACTTACAACATTTTGGAATTCATTTCTTCGAAAAATTAATCTTTTAAGCACATAAAATGCTTTATTTATAGCTAATTTGCTTCAAAACGGCTTGATCACTCAACACTCAACTTCAAAATGTCCAAATTAATTAAAAAGTGATAGTAAAGGTGATTAAATGCTTATTTTACTTCATACGACTGTGACTAAAGTTCAAATTGAATTTTTAAAAATTTAAATGATGATAAGGAATTTTATGTGTAAATAAATAAGCTCTTCTTTGCCAAAATAATCACAAATTCATAAAATTGAGAATTGTTCACACTCAACAGAATCCACACAGATTCCAAGACACAATATCAATTTCTTATACATCGCATCTGAAAATATTTCCATTCAACACATTGATTTCTCAGTTATTTGCCTAAATTCAATAAATTTCTCGTCTGCTTTTCTTATTCATAAAATTCTTTAAGGCGTAATGTGCTTATGGAAATGGAAAAATACATGAAAATTGTGTTTATTTGGTGAAATTCTTTGAATTTTTGTGAGAATTATTTTGTTTGGTTTCAAGTTTTTTGAATGAAAAAAAAAATAAGAAATTTAAAATAAATATTTTTGGTATTTTTTGAAGATTTGGACTTGACTTGAACTTAAAATCCAGGGGTTGACACGATTTCATCTTGATGAAAAATTTCTTTATTCTATTGTTAAGATGAAATTTTTGTATGAAAAGAATAAAATGATGAAATTTTCGGGTGAGCTCGGTTTGTATGAAAAATACCTCGAAAAAGCAAATTTTTCTTATTTGAAGTGAAAAATCTTTAGGAAAAATAAATGTTTGCATTAATTTTTTTATTAAAAGTGAAAAACCCCAAAGAAAAGCATATTTTTCGTCTCGATTTCCTTAATTAGGATGAAAAACCCCACGGAAAAATCATTTTTCGACTAGATTTTCTTAGATAAGGTAATTTGTATGAAATTATATACTTCACAAACCAAATAAAACGTGAAATTCTTAAAGATGAAAATGATGAAGGAAGATGAATTTTTTGTATGGAAAGATAAAAAAAAATGATGAAAAGATGAAATCGAGTCAACCCCTGACTTGAAATATACTTGACTTGGACTTAACTTGGACTTGACTCAGGCTTGAATTAGACTAAACTTGAACTTGACTTGAACTGGTATTGGACTTGACTTCCACTTGACTTAGACTTGACTTGGACTTGACTTAGACTTGAATTGGACTTGACTTGAACTTGACTTGAAATTGACTCGGACTTGACTTGGAATTGACTTGGACTTGAATTGGAATTGAATTGTACTTGATTTGGATTGGATTTGGACTTGATTTGGACTTGATTTCGATTTGACTTGGACTTGAATTGGACATGATTTGGACTTGATTTGGACTTGATTTCGATTTGACTTGGACTTGAATTGGACTTGATTTAGATTGGATTTGGACTTGATTTGGACTTGATTTCAATTTGACTTGGAATTGAATTGGACTTGATTTGGATTGGATTTGGACTTGACTTTAACTTGATTTGGACTTGACTTTAACTTGATTTGGATTTGACTTTAACTTGATTTAGACTTGACTTGGACTTGCTTTGTTTTTGATTTGTACTTGACTTAGACTTGATTTGGACTTGATTTTGATTTGACTTGGACTTTGAGTTTAACTTGGATTTTGACTTGAATTCGATTTAGAGTAAGAAATAGGCAAGATTTTTTCTTGAAAAATGAAGAAATTTCTTTTGACGATCAGGACTCGTTTTCTTAATCCTGCAGAAACTTCGGCTTAAATTTCCTTCAAAATGATTCAGTTCTTGAGAACAAAAAGCCACCTTCCAATTAGCAAACCAGACATTTTCAATCATTTTATAAGCCATACAGACTGACATTGTCAATCAGATGGGATAACCAGCTATACAAAAAATCCAAAACAATCTTTAACATTTTCTGTTCTAAATTTATTCAACAAAATTCTACCATTAACGCTCCCCCTGCCTCCCTTGAACCCTCTTCTAAATCTCACTTCTTCTCCCTCTTAAAGAATCCAGCATTATTTTATCTCAAACAATTTTTTTAACAAAGTTTCAAGAACAACAGCAGCACAAAAAAAGAATCCCCAACAACCTTAAAGTTCACGTCATATCAGCAAAAAAAAACTTTTAAGTTCTCCCAAAATGGATCTTAAAATAAACTTGAACGACGACAATAGGAAGAAGTAGAAACAAAGAAAACTTTTTAAGGCAGACATAAATGTCCGCGAGGAAGTAAAACATGGAAAACTTTTTTTTGTTCTAATTTTGTGGAACGATAAATTTTAATTAGCAATATTTGGAGGGGAGAGGAAATTGGGTCATGAAGTTGAATTGATGTGGACTGTAGGGGTGTAGCCAGGAAGGACCAATTAGGGTTTTTGCAATGCTCGAAATCATGACACAAACCTGAATGCCGAATGTCTTGTGACAACGCCTCTGAAATGGGTAAAAAGGAGTCACAACCCTTAACAACTCAATTTTATAATTTAGCCATTTTTTTCTCATATTGACTAAATGCAACCCTTCAACTGCATCCTCAAAATCTCCCTAAACCCTCAACTGCTACTCATTCCAGCCTTAAAAATAATTCAGTAATCAATAATCAAATTTAATACATTTTTATTTTAATGCCAATCATAAGTGAATGAAATAATCCAACAGGTGCTGACAATCTGTTGAGCTTCAAGGTAAATAATCATAAAGTACTAATGCTGATTAAATTTTCATTCTTTTTTTTGCCGTGTTGGCTGTAAACATGTGTTGAGTATTTTATGTTCTTGTCGGTGGGTGTTTTTTACTGTCTGATGGGATTTTTATGAGATGAAAAACTTAGGATTATTGCTAGGGGGAAGCATTTAGGTGTGGGAAAGCTATTTTGGAGATTACAAAATACAATTTATTTGAAAAAGGCTTAAAATATGCTCAAATTAGTCCTAAACCTTCTTAATTCCATTCCTTATACCCAATTGCACCACCACCGCATTCAAACACTCAAAATAGAATTTCAATATTCGCTGTCCACACAACAGCATCCTTCACATCAAAGACTGTTAATTAATTTTCAATATGGCTCAATAGACCAGCAGCGATTGCTTTTATCGAGTTTTAATTTTCTAGTCTAATTAATTTTATCTTTTTCACCCTTTTATTATTTGACAGTATGATGACTCTACTGCATGATGGGAATTCACTTTTGCATATGAAGCCAAAGTGTCCATGGAAAACTGCAAATTGGAACTTTTGATGTGGATTAGCATCATGACTGGATATGCATTTTATATTGCATCTGATTTTTCATGGCAACATCTAAATTGGATTGACCGTGGTCATTATTTTGTTGAAATTTAGTCTAATGAAGCTTATTAATTCGATCATTGAATTTAAAAGATTTTTCGAAATTTGGGTGCCTTCACACTTGAGTACTTAAGTTAAGGTGTCGTCACATTTGAGTTTTTAAGGTCAGGTGCCTTTAAACTTGCCTTTGGTTGGCTCAGGTGCCTTCACACTAGATTTTTAATAGGTTTACGTGAATTCACACTAGATGATTGAGTCAGACGCCTTCATACCTTTATTCTTAAGTTAAGGTGTCTTCACACTCGAGTCTCAAAGGTCAAGTGCTTTCACACTTTAGTTTTTTTAAGGATTCTGTTGTCTTTACACTAGGTTCTCTAAGTGTAGTGTGCTTACCACCAGGGCTTTTGAGATCAGGTGCCTTCACACTAAAGCTCTCAAGATCATGTGCATTCACACTATGCCTCTGAAGATCAGGCGTCTTCACACTATAGTTCTCAATTTTAAGATTCCTTCGGTTTAGAGTTTTGCATACTTGCAAGTAACCCCTTAAATAATAAAGCAATATTGATTTTAAAAAAAATCTTAGCAGCATCAGCAAAAAAATTGAATTATCTTCCTTAAAAGCAACAAGAGCTTCTCTCTAAAAATAAAAAAAATCTTTTTTTCGCAATAAAAGCATAAAATCCTCAAAGAAACATGAAATTCAATTATGATCAAAAGCACATGAATGTATAATATTAATCACACAGAGGAGAAACCTTTTTAACCCTTTTTACTTCCCTATATCATGAATGCTCATGTTCATATTAGACGAAAATCAATAATGCCAATATATCCACTCGCTTATAGCCTGTAACCTCTCTCACAACCCCATCAATTTCATTGATGTTCATTGAAATGTGAAAATTATATGAGCAACATGTGGCTGTGAGCTTGAATGGAATGATGATAACGGGAATGGTGAATGTTGGATGAGGGTATGGATGTGAATAATTTTTAAAGATTAATTGTTTAATGGTTTTTGAGAAATTTGTAAAATAGTGTGAAGGAACCTAAACCTCCAGTCTGATTAGTTTGGACCTTAAGACTCTCTTGTAAAGGAATCTCAATCTTAAGATGAAAATGTGAAGGTATCTGAACCTAAACCTCTTTATGTGAGGACACCTGAACTGTAAGACTCAAGTGTGAAGGCACCTGGACCTAAAAGCTCTAGTGTGAAGGCACTTTAACCCCAAGAATCTAGTGTGAAGGCACCTGAACCTTAAGACTCTAGTATGAAGACACTTTAACCACAGGATTAAGTGTGAAGGCACCTGAAACTTAAAACGCTAGTGTTAAGGCACCTAAACTTTCAGACTCTAGTCTGAATGAACTTTAACCACAATAATTTAGTGTAAAGGCACCTGAACCTTAAGAATCTAGTATGAAGACACCCGGACCATCAGACTTTAGTTCGAAGGCACTTAACCTCAAGAATCTAGTGTGAAGGCACCTGAATCTTAAGACTCGAGTGTAAAGGCACTTTAACCACAAGAATCTAATGTAAAGGCACCTGAATCTTAAGACTCTAGTATGAAGGCACTTTAACCACAAGAATCTAGTGTGAAGGCACCTGAAACTTAAGACACTAGTTTAAAGGCACCTAAACTTTCAGACTCTAGTCTGAAGGAACTTTAACCACAAGACTCTAGTGTGAAGGCACCTGAACCGAAAAAACTTCAGTATGTAAACACTTAAATTTATAAACTCTAGTGTGATGTCACCTGAAATTAAGAAATCTAGTATGTAGGCGCTTCAAATTTAACATTCTTATGTAAAGGCACCTGAATCATTATAACACTAGTTATAGTTTCCCAGAGCAAATATTGTGCCTATTGAAGTAAACAAAAATTCACACATTGTCAAGTGTGAATGTTGAGTGTGAATTAATCTCATTTTAACTTTAATTGAATCTCTTAAAAATATCACACTCAGAGAAAGGAGTTTCACTCAAATATTCGCAGTATAAAGGCATACTCAGTAACTACTGTCAATCAGAAAGTAAAATTTGAGGTGATCAGACTTGAATCTCGAACTTAGTAATTGAAGATAACATTGGGAATGAAGAAGGCTGTATTGTAAGTGAAATATTTTATTTTAAATTTGTAACTGTCAACATTTTGGGAAGCATGAATTGTCGTAAAGTTTGGCCTACCCTTTAAACTTAAGGAAGGGACCCGAATGGTACAAGTCGAGTAATCGATCATAAATTCGGTACAAAGCTGGTGTGGCTCTGGCATGTTGTTGGATATAAATCGAAGCCAGCACCATATCAGAGTCATGCCAGCTTGGTGCCAGTTTTCAGTTCGATTAACAGACTTGTGCTATTTGGGAAGATCTGGATCATACCTTTTGATCCTGCTGCATCATTCATAGAGAATACAAACGGAATGTACCAGTTTGAGAGCTAATCTATATTAGCAGTGCTTAATCTAGTGGTTTGTGACACAAAAATGCTCAACCTAGTATAAAGCTCTAAAGTACTTAACGTCCTAAGTCCCCAAAACTCAATTATCAACAAAAAATTTCGAATAATCATTTTAATGTGTTCTTAATTGACTATTTAGGATTATCAGTTTCACCTCATAAGCACAAACTTTATTGTATGATTTCCCAAAGCTTCACGTTCATGACATTCAGGCATTTTTTTAAATTGATAAGACAATCAATAAAATTATCACCTTATATAAGGTCACTAGTCATCGTTGTTTATTCAATTAGCTATCACTAATCAGCTATTTTTATGTTTCTCATTAACAGCCTTGTCTGTTTACTGTTGGCATTCATCAGTTCCTTATCATCGACAAATGTGACCTGCACTTATAGAACCTCAACATTCTGGGCTGCAGAATCAATGTACAACTGCTATGTTGCAAATACACTTGACATTTATCAGCCTGAGGATGCTGTGATAACAGCTGCAACGGGAATACATTCTTATGGAGAGTCCAGTGACTCGGAAGTCGTCTTTTATACTTACAATAAAAATGTTCACTTTTTCCCGCTCGGTTTGGAAAAAATTTACAAAAATTTAAATGGAATTATTTTGTACACGGAACCGATCGATTTTATACAGCAATCGGACCTAAAAGCTTACACGAGGCTTATTTTCATTCAACTTGCAGACACAAAGATTGAAATTTTGGAGGATGGACTGTTTGACTACAATCCACAGCTGAAATATTTGGCGCTGAATGAAAATAAAATTTTTCACATTGGCTTGACAGTTTTTGAGAATTTGAACAACTTGATATCGCTGAATTTGGACAAGAATGTCTGCATTAAAAAGAAAAGTGAAAAAAGTAAATCAAGCACTTTGGAGCTTATCAAGTTAGTCAAGAGTCAATGCATGAGTAATGAATTTTTTGGTATTGATGAGAAATTTTTAAAATTGGAAAAACAAGTCGAAAATTTGAATCATAAAAATTTTGGTATTTTTGAGAAGGAATTGCTGAGACTGGAAAGTCGATTTGTGAGGTCCAAGTTCGCTAATTTCACGTTGCTGCAAGAAAAGCTTGAAAAATTGAAGGAAGCCAAGGTTGAGAAGTATGAAAAGAGTGACAACGGAGCTAATATGACTGGAATTAATTTGATTCTGTTGACTTTATGTTTTTTGAGGAATTTTTTGTGAATAAATTGACGGTTCAGAATTGCAAGGGGAACATTGCTATGTGTAAAAAGTTTTGGTAAAATTCTATAAAATTTTGCATTGTTTTATTACAATTTTTAATAATTTTATTGTGACATGAGAGGCTTAAAGTGTCTCAAAATTTATGTAAAACCCCTGAAAGTATTTTTATACACTTTAACAATCAAAAACTCTTTTTCAAAAAATACAAAAAAAAATATAGAATTTTTTTCAAATTCAAATTGACGAGATTGTGACTCAATGTTGCCAGGGGAGGCTTCAGGCGTTTTAGGCATACAGGGGTTTAGAATTACGTCTTAAATAACTCAATTTTCTAAAAGGACAAGGAATTTTGATCTCTGATACCTTCTTTTGATGTTGTTAAGTCACTAAACTTATCCTTTAAAATGACGAATGTTAGCTTGACACTTAAACATTGATGTCACGTCTATTATGACTAAGGATTATCTCCCATGGCGTCGACATAAATTATGCGAAACCTCCTGACTAAGCAGTAGTTTGCAAACGATAAGCTTAGTAACTCTAATAATAAATCATCACAACTATGACTGTATGAACAAGTCACTGCTTCAAATTAAACATTTCGGGGGGGGGGGGGGGCAAGATGCTTCGCGCTACACCACTGCATGTTATCCTGTCTAGTCTAACTTTACTGATATGAGCCACGAGTTCAGGACTTATTTATAAAATAAAAGGAATCATACTCAAAACATTTATAATTAAGGCGTATAAACTTATGATGAATCCTGAAAAATCCAAAATATCGTAAAAAATGGATTTTACATTTTCATGTTTATTGGCTCAGGGACTTTTTAGGATTTTTGGGATTTTTTTGGACTAAATCTGAGTTTTCACGCCTTGTTTATAATCTTTTTATTTTTTTTAAAACTTATGACGAGTTACATTATTCATTCTAGTTTTGTCGTTCAAGCTAAAATAACGCATTTTTAAAGTCATGAAAAAAGATCATTTAAGGTAAGTTATTTTAAATTGCGATGCAAATAATTTTTATTGGATATTAATTTTTACAGCATTCTTCTCTTCCTCTTTTCTTTGTCGTTCGAGATTGGATTCTTTCTGGATGTAAATTGTTACTATGATGAATCTAATTACTGGTCTCTTAACATGACATATCGATGCTTTGTAATGAACGTTAGTACACCTGATAACACATTCGTCACAAACATAACAGGAACACACATGGCCAACAAGTCAAATGATGATGAAATTATTTTTCATTGTTGGGGTGCAAATTTAAAATTTTTTCCGAAGGGTCTTGAGAGGATTTACTCAAATCTAATCGGAATTCAAATAACTGATTGCGGACTTAAAGTGATCAACCAAGCAGACTTAAACAAGTATGTTAAATTGAAGTATCTCTCGTTGACATCAAACAACATTGAATACATTGGAAATGACATTTTTAAGTTCAATACTAAGTTGGAAGTAATTGACTTGGAAAATAACAAAATTCAACAAATCGACACCCAAGTTTTTCAACATTTAAATTACTTAAGATCATTGGACCTATCAGGGAATCCATTTAATAAAATGACTGCAGACAATAACTCAACGGAAGTCCAAGAAGTTATTAAAAAGGTTTGAAATTATTTTTTAAAACACCTTTTGCTTATTTTCAAGGGGTGAACAACCTGGTGGAAAAAAATGTGAACAAATTACAGAAGTCTTCGTGTTATTGATCGAGGGACTTAAGCGCATTTTTGTGTTGGCGATCAGTATTTGACTATCTAATTATTTTGCATTCACTTACAGAACATGAAATGATTAATTTAAATGTAATTAACAAATAATTACAATCAATGTCCATATAAAAAATCAGACTACCGCCAATTCATATAACATCCGTTAAATTTATATTCAAAAAAATTCAAATGTTTTATGACCGTTATAATATTCAAAAAATTTTGACGGTTAAACCAGATTTTAGCATGCACTTCCTCATTTTGCTCAAATTTTATTGTTAATAAAGTTGAGAATGGATAAAAAAAATATAAAATTAATAATTTATGAAGAACTTTGGGATTTGTGCAGAATTGGTATTAATTAAAATAATTTATTGTTTACATAATGTAACTGTTTTTTGAAATTTGAATTTTCGGCTCTAATATCGAAGAAATCGAAATTAATTTCGAAGAAGTCCGAAACGAAATGACGGTAGTCTGTAAGCAATTTTTAACATTTAACGGTCTTTTGGAATTCAAATTTTTAACCAGTAAAAAATCAAATTTCTGAACGCACCCTGATTACAATTTTAATACCGATAGAAAGTAATTCAAATTTCTAAACGCATCCATCACGTGTTTTTCATAGGAAATAAAAAAATCATTATTTAAAGTGTAAAAACACTGTTTTTAGACTTTTAACTGACCGAACGCCCAATAACTCGGTAAAACTGAGCTAATAAAACAAATCCGAGGTCTCTACGATGTCTGGTTCAAAAGTTTTTCTTCGCCCGAGCAGCCGAACAAAGTGCATTATTAAGTTTTTTTAAAAAACAAGTTTCAAAAATGCGCCAAAATCGGGAGCATATTCAAAAATTCAGAAATTTATAAGGATTTAGGGGAGGTTATGGAGGTGGTTTTGGTTCAGTTTCTCAAAAAACCCTAAAAACATTCAGAAACTTTTCCAAAATATGGCATAAAAGGAGTCGACTCAAAAAATCTTCCCCCCTTGATACGCTTCTAGTTTAAAAAGTTGTGCAAATTATTTTCTTCATCAAGTTGTTTTCCCTCTGCTCATAAATATTGTTTTAGGCATCAAAATTACAATCACTTCATGATGAAGCCATCGTTTTGGAAATGAATCAAACTATCAATGAGCTCAGAAGCATGTTGACTAATTTAAAAGAACGTAAGAACCCATGGATTCTAGTCATGATGGGAAACGTCGGATTTATTCAAACAATTATTTTAATTTTAATCTACAAATTTTTGTTTAAATAACATTTTTATTGTTTTGAAATCGAAATTAAGTCTAGAGTCAGTAAATTAGCTGTGGATGAACCACCTAAAGTCTGCAGAAAAATATTTTGTAGCTATTTTGGTTGAAAAGCTTGAAATGCAGTTCATAAAAGATGTTAAAAATGCTTTTGTAAGTTCTAATCCGAAATAAAGACTTCAAACCTTCTGAAATTGATGATGAAGAATCTTATTAATCTTTTTAACACACTCACTAGCTAGGTTTTAGACCAACTGAGCAAATTTGAGCGCGATAGACCCGCTTTTTCGAGGCCTTTCCCGACTAATGTTAATTTTTTCGTCCTGTATAATGCTTTAATATGGGTTGTCTTGCTTTATTAAAGTCTAAATATGGAAATTTCCCGCAAAAACCGATAAACAACTCATGCAACGGACACATCGAAAAAAACCGTTATTTTGTGGTTTGAATTTCAAAAACCGTTAAATTTTAATGAATATTTCTTGTAAAAACAAGGTTTTGTCAAACGATTCTTATCCTTAACTTCATGTCTAGCTCAGTTTAGCTAAAATCATCCAAGAAACTTACTTAGAACTTAAATAATAATGCTTAAAATACTAAAATTGATAACTTCTTAACGGTTTTTAAATTTTTAAACGCTAGATCGACTAAATTCGAACAAGCTTACTTTTTTCGACACTGAAATGTCCGTAGCATAGTACAACCTATTACCAGGCAAACATTCACAATGATTTAATTTACAACCAGTCCACAACATTCTCTAGCAATTTGTTTCCATTTTCATGATTTCTGATTCCATAGTAATTTAAACTCATTAAACAACCAAAATGATTTACAACGAAAATTTATGTTTCACGAATTTCAATTCACATTTTTGCATTTTGTGGGAAATCAATGCAATTAGAAAATCCTTCCAGGCATAAAACTCACATTTTTTGGCATCAAAATTCCATTTTCATCAAGATACAAATTTTAATTAAAAAGGCACAAAATTTTTACCATACAAAGTCGTTGTGTAACACACGGATGGATGGATGAATGGGGTGAGGTATCATTTACACGGGTTGTATGACACTCATTTGAATACATTTTGAACATGTAGCATGTGTATCTGTGTTGCTTCATTATCATCGTTGTGTAATCTAACATGTAACATTTTATTCGAAGGTTTGGATGGGGTTTGGAGTGGCTTTTGAGGTGTTTTGACTTTAATTGAACACTTATAAATTGTAACAAAAATTCCAAATAGAGTCGAAAAATCAAAATGGAGTCAAAAATTTAAAATAATGTCAAAATTCAAAATGAAGTCAAAAATGGAGTCAAAAATTCAAAATAAAGTCAAAAATTCAAAATCTAGGCAAAAATTCAAAAAATGAAGTCAAAAATCGAAATAGAGTCTGAAATTCATAATGGAGGTCATTTAAAATTTGTCAAGGAAGCTCACATATTTCACCCCATCCCTTCCAAAAACCTATCATCAACCAACCACCTTTACTTCCGCACCGTCTACACCAAAAAAAAAAAAAGAATTCGTGACTGTGAAAATCATGTAAAATGTAAATTTAATGTGGTTGTTTACATTTTCTCTTTATACGGCTTGAAGACATCATGCATACATGTGTTCATGCTTGTAATTTAAGCTCACAGCAGAAAAAAAAGTTTATTTTTTGTAGGAATGAGTAAATGAAGACACAGCAGGAGGTAAATTTTATTTCAAAATTCAAAACAGCTGAGATTTTTTTTTTTTTTTGGATAAAATATTTTGTTACTATGCGGATGTGTCAGTGGGTTGGGTGCTCGGTATTGTTGTAATTAGGATGTTGAATGGGATGATATGGTTTGAAAATTAATGAATGCATTTGTCAAAAGTGGTGTGTTGTACACGATTATGTTGTTTTTGTCTAAGTATGGCTATGGTAGTGGTGCGTTGCATGCAGTTTTGATCAATTTTTAATAATGTGGACTAGAAGTGGTATACTGCATACGACTTTGGTCAATTTTCAATCAATTTGGGCAATAGTGGTGCGCTGCATACGACTTTGGTAAATTTTCAATCAATTGTGTCAATAGTGGTGCGTTGCATACGACTTTGGTCAATTTTCAATCAATTGTGTCAATAGTGGTGCGTTGCATACGACTTTGGTCAATATTCAATCAATTGTGTTAAAAGTGGTGTGCAGCATGCGACTTTTTACACGGTTTTGATGTAACAAAAAACTTTTAAATGAACCACATGCCTCAAAGCTAGTTTAACTTTTCATAATTTTCACATTCTAATCAAAAAATTTTCACAATTTTCATTTCATTTGCACACATTTTCTCATCAAAACTTTCCATCTGAACCTGATAACTACATCAGACTTTTCATTCAATCAAAAAAAATAATATTTTTTCACATTTTATCCTCGAGCATCTTCATCATCATCATCATGCTCAATGCCTTTTCACTTCAATTTAACAAGAAAAATGCAATCAGCAAAATGAAATAACACCAAACGAACTTCATCTGAACAAAAAAAAATAATAATGAGAATTTTTTCAACACGAGCGATCTGGAAACGATGAATATTTATTTAACAATGAATGCAAGTGCCTTTAAATGTTGATTGAATTTTTTTCCACAGATTCTTGTTCTTTACTTGTCGATGTGTTTACTGTTTAAAGTAAAAAAATTGTTTCACTTTAGTTTGATTATTTTAGGTGTATTGATCTTCAAAAATTGACTTAAAACCGTTTGTAACACACTACTATTGACACAAAGTGTCTCAAACATACTAAGATGGTTGATGCTTTGACCAATCTTATGCTGCACACCACTTTTGACACAAATTATTAAAAATTAATCAAAGTCGTATGCTTCACACCATTCTTGACACACATTTTTGAAAATTGACCAAAGTCGTATGCTGCAAACCTTTTTTAACACAAATTTTTTAAATTGATCAAAGTCGTATGCAATGCACCATTTTTGACACAGTTTTTTCAAATTGAGCACCATTTTAGATACAAATTATTGAAAAGTGACCAAAAGTCGTATGCTGCAAACCACTTTTGACACAAATTATTGAAAATTTACCAAAGTCGTGTGCAACGCACCACTTCTGACACAAATGATTTAAAATTGTCCAAAGCCGTATGCTTCACACCACTTTTGACACAAATTATTGAAAATTGACTAAAGTCGTATGCAACGCACCACTTTAGACACAAATTATTGAAAAGTGACCAAAAGTCGTATGCTGCAAACCACTTTTGACACAAATTATTGAAAATTTACCAAAGTCGTGTGCAACGCACCACTTTTGACACAAATGATTGAAAAGTATCAAAAGTCGTATGCTGTACACCATTTTTGACACACATGATTAAAAACTGACCAAAATCGTTTGCTGAACACCACTTTTGACAAAAATGATTGAAAAGTATCAAAAATCGTATGCTGTACACCATTTTTGACACACATGATTAAAAACTGACCAAAATCGTTTGCTGAACACCACTTTTGACACAAATTATTGAAAAAATTATCAAAGTAGTGTGCTGCACACCACTTTTGACACAAATGATTTAAAATTGTCCAAAGTCGTATGCTTCACACCACTTTTGACACAAATTATTGAAAATTGACTAAAGTCGTATGCAACGCA